ATATAATATATATAATGTATAATAATATGTAATTATAATATAATATAAAATTATATATAATAATATAATATATAATATAATAATAATATAATATAATTATAATATATAATAAATATAATTATAATATAATTATAATATTATAATATAATAAAATAAAAAAATAAAGATAGAAGATAGGTAGATAGAGGTAGATAGAAGATGTACAATGAAGATGACACTTAATTTCGTTGTACGAAAAGTAAAGGAAAGCTCACCCTTCTTTGCCTCCTTCCAGCTGGCCCTGAGGGCGGGAAACGAGAAGGAGGAAGGCGAGACGGCTGACACGGTGGGCTGCTGTTCTCTGCGAGTAGAACACATCGCTCTGCACTCACGGCAGGGCGGCAAGGAGAACGTGGTGGAGTTTGACTTCCTGGGCAAGGACTGCATCCGTTACTACAACAAGGTGTCCGTGGAGAAGCAGGTGAGCCAGGAGGTGGCCCAATCCAACTGGACGCTTTCCAAAGAGCGTAAAAACCTGAGAACGTAGACTGACCTTTCCCAGTCTGGGATCTGGTAATATAGAAATTGTTGTTCCGAAAGACCTGGAAGAGAACCCCATTATCTGGGGGGATCTCCAGCAGGATCAGCCAATCAGTAGAACGGTTTGCCCTCCAGAAGTTGTGGGTGCAACATTGGAGTTTTTAAAGAAGAGACTGGACAGCCGTTTGTGGGACATGGTCTAGGGCAAGGGGTCTTCAAACTTGACAGCTTTAAGACTTGTGGACTTCCAACTCCCAGAATTCCTCCGCCAGTCATGTTAGCTCAGGAATTCTGGGAGTTGAAGTCCACAAGTCTTAACGCTTGCCAAGTTTGAAGACCCTTGGAGTAGGGTCTCCTGCTTGAGCAGGGAGTTGGACTAGAAGACCCCCCAAGGTCCCTTCTAGCTTTGTTTTTCTGCCTTCTACTGGAGATCTTGGAAACAGAAGGTCAGTTCTGGGCTACTTGGTAGAAGTTCTGAATTATCTGTCTTGGAGAAGGACTGGGCTACCAAAACCTTTTCTCCATTTGTCTCCCCAGGTAAGGATGGAGTAGAAGAAGAAGACAGAGTTTGGTCAGAATCTATATATAGGCCACACAGCCTGTTTTCAGGAGGCCATAGAGGGTGAAAACGAGACGTGAGGAGGCCCCACATGGATTCCCCGTGCCCCGTTTTGGCCAGCAGGGTGCTGCAGGAGGCATCTGTCCCAACCCCTGGCCCGTAGAGGAGAACAATGCTGATCCGGCCCTCAAAGAAATCCAGTTTGACACCCCTGCTCTACAATATTTAGACGCCAAAGTTGAAGATCTCCAGAAGATACACATATTTTTTTCTTCTGAGGCCTCCACCTTGTGGTCACCGCAAGATGGAACTGCTCTGCACGTCTCCCATTTTCTCATTTCGCTGTTCCAAACATCTCCACTTGGTTTGATTTTCAGCCAGGTAGCCTCCAACCATCGATGATATCGGATCTTCTTCCTTCTTACCCCGAGTCTCTCTTTCAAATCTTGGCAAACAAGATCTGACGCCGCATCCAGTGGTGCTGTCGTGCCCTTGTTGGAGTCTGATTCTGAGGGGGAGATTGAGCAGCTGACAGGGAGTGGGAGTGTGGCTCCGGTGGCTGTGGAGGAAACGGGGGAAGAGCACAGTCCGGCTGGGCATTCAGAGGAAGACCCAAGCCCACCCCCTCTTCATCCTAGGGTACACAGGGAGGAACGGATAAGGGAGCAACATGGTTTACGAGAGAGGAAAGGGCCCTGATCCCCTTCATGGGCTGCAGCTGGGAGAACAGGATATAACTGGGGAGTTTGTACATGGCTCTTTGCTGGAAGCAAAGCGTGCATTATCTTGGTTGAGCCCTTATCTAGGTTTTGGCATCCTCCCAACTGTGGTTGCCCCTTTGTAGACTGTCTTTGGAAGAGTTTGATATCCAGCCAAGGATAATGGGACATTGGGGGCCAAGTTGGAGGCATTAAAGGGAATTTATTCTACTTTGCTGACTTTGTTATTTTTGTGTCATGCCCCGGGTCATCCCAGGTGCTTTCGATGCTGTAAATTTTTTTTTTTGAGGGCCTTAACTGTGAGTTCTGTCTTTGCTGTAGGTGTTCAAGAACTTGAAGTTGTTCATGGAGGAGAAAGAACCTGGTGACAACCTGTTTGATAAGCTTTCTGTAAGTGCCCATTGACTTGCCTTGAATTTTGTACCCCTGTCTGTCATCCTTGAGGGTACATTTGCATTCTCCCACTTCATTAGGTTTGAGGCAGAGGGAAAGGTGGGGAATGGAAGTCCATCCCGGAATCCAGGACATGATGATGTGAAATTATTTGATAGTTCAGTTTGCTTAAGCAAGTGTGGATCTAAGTCCCGAAGGTACTTTTTTTTTTTCCAAGAGGCAACTGGACTTCCTTGGTTTTGTTTTGTTTTTCCTTTGAAGATGTTTTGCTTCTCATCCAAGAAGCTTCTTCAGCTCTGACTGGATGGTGGGGAATGGAGATTAACGGGGATCTAATGTATATAGTTTGGGGTTCTGCGGCGGAAGAAGATTAAAACATAATTACGTAGGATAGTTTTATTTTTGAATATCTTCCATTTGCATTTCAGTTCAAAGTCTCACGATCTCCTTGTCTAGTGGTCTCCAGAGTTGGCAACTTTTAAGATTTGTGGACGTTTTAACACCCAGGATTCCCCAGCCAGCCAAGTTTGGAGACCCATCTCCTAATTCATATGGCAGAAGTAGCTTTCATTACCACCACAAAACTCTTTAGCTTGCTTTCTCCTGGACCAAAGATGACAGAAAGTGGACGAATGCCAATCCTACAGCTACCTTTTAGGGAAAGAGAAATTACTTGAGAGAGCTGGAGAAAAGATAGGGGTATGCCCGAATTAAATTCCTGCGCTTTCCAGAAATTGACGGTCAGCTGAGAGCTCTTAACCTGGGCCACTATTTTTCCTGCTCCTCTTCTTGTTAGAGTTTGCAGCAGAAATTCAAATCCAGAGAGCACACACACGCATGATTGATTCAGCAGGATTCATTAACTTCTTTATATACATAATAGCGCTTGAAGTAAAGATTACAATACCAATCGTAGATTCTTCCGACATGGTAAAAAGTTACAAGCAAAACACAAACAGCAGCTTCATAGCTCAGAGCAGATTTTTGCCAGTTCATGAATATTCTGACACTTCTCTAATTTACTCCCACTTGGCTTTCCAGACAGCAATGCTGAACAAACATCTCCAGGACCTGATGGATGGGTTGACAGCAAAGGTCTTCCGCACTTACAATGCGTCCATCACGCTGCAGGAACAGCTGGAAGCACTGACCAATGGTAAACCGAAATCGAGGCGTTGCCTTCTGAGCTGTTCAGCTTTGGGGCCTTCTGTTCATCCTAGCAGAATTTTTCCGTGCCTCTGGAGAACTTTTGATGGGACGTATTTTGGGGATGGAACAGATAAATGGATTCATATTCCAAGCAGTAGCGAGGTGGCTCAGTGGCTTAATGATACTGGAGATGGTCTCTACTTCAGCGGTTCGAGTCCTAGCACTGCATGGCAGGGTGAGCTCCTGTCACTGGCTTAATGATACTGGAGATGGTCTCTGCTTCAGCGGTTTGAGTCCTAGCACCGCATGGCAGGGTGAGCTCCTGTCACTCAGCTTCAGCTTCTGTCCACCTAGCAGTTCAAAACTGTTCCATACGAGTAGATAAATAGGTACCACCTTGGTAGGGAGAAGAGTTGGTGCTCTGTGCAGGCATTCAGATTCCTACTGGCTTTGAACCTTCCTGGTTGCGACACTCATTTGTGAGGTAGCTCTGGTGGAGGGAGGTGGCCTAGGTTGATGTTATGGGAAGAGCCACTTGTCTTTCTGGTGCGAAACCAGGTAGCTCACCTATGGCACACCAAGGGAAGTAGACCTGTAGAAATCACAGCTACATCCTAGTCAGTTCATTGGCATTTGGTCTCCCTCTGATGGTAGAAGGAGGGGGATTGGGAGAGACATCTCATGAAACTTTCTCTTGTGAAGGACACTATCAGTTTGATGACCCTGATTGCAATTAATCCGTGGAACAGGTTGTCTCCAGAAGTTGTGTACGTTCCATCACTGGAGTCTTTTAAAAAGAGCCTGGACAACCTTTTGTCTGAAATAGTATAGGACTTCCTGCTTGGGGTTGGACTAGAAGATGCAGATTAACAGAATTGGAAAGGGACCTTGTAGGTCATCTAGTCCAACACCCACCCCCCCCGCCCAAGCAGGAGACCCTACACCATTTCTGACAGATGGCAGTCCAGTCTCTTCTTGAAAGCTTCCAGTGATGAAGCTCCCACAACTTCCGAATGCAACTTCTGTTCCATTGGTTGATTGTTGTCACTGTCACAAAGTTTCTTCTTATTTCCAGGTTGAATCTCTCTTTCAGTTTCCTTCCATTGTTCCTTGTCTGGCCTTCGGGTGCTTTGGAAAATAGCTTGACCCCTTCCTCTCTGTAGCAGCCCCTCAAATATTGGAAGACTACTATCCATGTCCCCCCTGGTCCTTCTCTTCACTAGACTAGCCAGGCCCAGTTCCCGCAACAGTTCATCGTATGTTTTAGCCTCAAACCTTGTTTAATCATCCTGGTTGCTCTTCTCTGCACTCTTTCCAGAGTCTCAACATCTTTTTTATAGTGCGATGACCAAAACTGGATGCAGAACTCTAGGTGTGGCCTTACTAAGGCTTTATAGAGTGGTGGTATTAGTACCTCCCTTGATTTTGATGATCTTGATTCCTTGAGCTAATTTCTCACACACATTGCACCCACAGAGAAGGACTCCCTGGCTGCTAAGCTCCTGTCCTACAACCGAGCCAACCGAGCCGTGGCCATTTTGTGCAACCATCAGCGATCAACTCCAAAGACCTACGAGAAGTCCATGAAGAACCTCCAGGCAAAGGTGAGACAGTAGAAAAGGAGGTGGACACACACCCATGATGTCAAGATGGCCCTAATGAAATCATGAGCCTCGAGCCAAGCTTCAAAAAAAGATTTATTAGGAGCAACATGCTGGCATTCGCCTAAATGCAGCCAACTCTGGCATACATAATTTTACAGTCACCTGAGACCCTGTTTCCCCCCTGGGTGTATCATGAATCACGGGCTGGGTGTCATCAATCACGCTCTTCAATGAAGGATTTTCCCAGGCAGAAGATCCGGTAGCCTAGCTACAATCTTTGTAAGTTAAGGGTGGAATGCACTTCTGGTTTTAAAGTGCTGTATTGCTCCTTCAGATCCCCCCCCACACACACACACTTTGTTTATGGCAACTCGAAAGCAGACATGGGAATGTTTTATGAGTTGACACATGCATTTTGCTGGAGGCTTGTAGGGGGTCAATTTGTGGCCGGTATAAAAAAGAAAACTTACAATTGCTGGCAACCAGCATTGTTGGAATCATGGTTTTTCTAGCAGAGGGTGTCAGAGTGGATCATGTTGGACAGCGGAAATGAGGAGAAGATAAGAACTGGACAGCAGGAAGGAAGGGCTATCTAGATTTCCTGCCTAGAATTTTCTTGAATCTGAAGGTTAGGAGGAACCGGGGAGATTTTCTAGTTCAAACATTTGCCTGGGCAGGAATCTTCAGACCACCTGACACAAATGTTTCTTTGAAAAATTAAGGTAAGGTTTCCCCTTCTTGCACATACGTGCTAGTCGTTTCTGGCTCTAGGGGGCGGTGCTCATCTCCGTTAAAAGCGGAAGAGCCAGCGCTGTCAGAAGATGTCTCCGTGGTCATGAGGCTGGCATGTCTAAATGCCTTCGAAGGTGCACGGAATGCTGTTACCTTCCCACCAAAGGAGTCCCTATTTTTCTACTTGCATTTTTTTTACGTGCTTTCAAACTAGGAGAAGCTGGGACAAGTAACGGGAGCTCACTCTGTGATGCGGCGCTAGGGATTCGAACCGCCGAACTGCCAACCTTCCTGATCGACAAGCTCAGTGTCTTAGCCACTGAGCCACTTTATCCACTGAAAAATACAGATGATTAAATTCTGGTCCTAATTGTAGTCACAAGTCAAGGACTACCTGTATCAGGAATGAGACTTCATATCTCCATCAGGCTGGCCGATTCAATAATCTATAGCTGTTGAGGCCAGGAAATTCCTTACTTTGAGTTCAAAACTCCCCCTTAGATATTCTTCTCCTGCTGTTGGGCATTAAGAGAAGAGTGGGGCCCTTGGTGCTTCCTGAGCTTGGTTGGTTTTTTTGCAGGTGTTTCATTACCAAACTAGGTGATATTGTCAGTGCTAGAAGGGAGGAAGGTTTGTGGAGTGGAGGAGGAGGATGACAATGATGGCAACAACTTGGGGGTGGGGTCCTTGATGCTCTCTGAGTTTGGTTCTTGGCTTGCAGATGTTTCATTTACCCAACTAGGTGTCATGCCCCTGTTAGAATCTGACTCCGAGGGAGAGGAGGAACAGCCGACAGGGAGTGGGAGTTTGGCTCCAGAGGTTGTGGAGGAAACTGGGGAAGGGTACAGGCCGGCTGGGCAGTCAGAGGAAGACCCAGGCCCATCCCCTCTTCATTCTAGGGCACTCAGGGAGAAGAGGATAAGGGAGAAAGGTGAATGGTGTGGTCTATGGGGGAGGAAAGGGCCCTGATCCCCTTCATGGGCTGTAGCTGTGAGGACTGGTTAAAAGGACAAACTGCGCATGGCCCAGTGCATTATTCTTGTCGGAACTTATCTGTGTTTTGGCTTCCTCCCAACTGCGGTGGCTGCGCTATCTGGTAGAAGTCTGCAATTAATCATCCTTACCTGCCGTAGTAGTTCCTTCAGTGTGGTTTGTGTTGGGTTATTTATTTCAAATTAACTTTACTTTGGGTGCGGACGGCATTTACTCCCTCCGTATACTGTTTTCTTTAAGAGTTTGATTTCCAGCTGAGGATAATTGGACACTGGGGCCAAGTTGGAGGCATTAAAGGAACTTTATTCTATTTTTGTGCTTCGGTTATTTTTGTGTCACCACCCCAGGTCATCACACTAGGGAACATCATCAGTGCTATGAACACCATCATTAACACTTATGATGTTCTTTAGCTGGGTCATGAAACGTTTGCAAGAAAATCAACGAGCTCAGAGAGCACCCAAGGACACCACAATTCAAGCCTGAGCTACAAAGGGTTGAATTGTCTCTTCTGTTGGAAGAATATAACAGATTTATTCTATTAGGAGAATAAATCCTCACGTCCTTCACTGGAGTAGAAGCATTAGGAAGGCTGTTGTCATGTCTCTCCTTAGATTTTGGTTTTCATGCCTAAAGGCACCTGGTTCCTTGATGTGTCCTAGCCTCTCACCACCCATGTTGCACTTCTCTGCACGCTTTCCAGTTTCCGATGAAGATCAGACCTCCAGCCCTTGCTTATCAGTGGAGACCGAGTGGAGCAAGTGGCCAGTTTTAAGTTTCTGGGTGTTACCCTAAAAGAGGACCTGACCTGGGATGCTTACATTGCAGTGCTGGTCAACAGGGTCCAGCAGAGATTATACTTACCTGAGGCTTCTCAGGAAACAACAACTGGATGAGAAACTGCTGATGACCTTCTACCGCTGCACCATAGAGAGTATCTTAACTTCCTGCACCTCTGTATGGTTTGCCAATTGCACGGGGCAGATAGGACAGCACTCCAGAGGGTGAACATCATTGCCCAGAGGATCATAGGTTGCCCTCTCCCCTCTTTGGAAGAGCTTTATAGCTCCCGCTGCCTTAAGAAAGTTCAAAACATCCTTAAAGATCCATTTTTTGACTATTACCATCTGGCAGCCGGTACAGGATAATAAAAACAAGGACAAATAGGCTGAAAAACAGCTTCTACTCCAGGGCAGTAAGTCTACTGCATTCTACATTATAGTGCAATATTAATGCAATATCAGGGGTTTTCACTTCAATGGCATAGAAGGTGAAGGATGTGTGTTTGTGTTTATTTTCATAGTCATGACGTACCGTGAAGGTGATATTTAATTTTGTTGTACGAGGTGCAATGACAATAAAGTAAACTTTAAAAAAAAAGTGAAGTGTTTCATCTGCAGAGACTTTGTTTACACAGGACAGAGGACTCCGTTTTGACTTATTCATTTTGTATTTCCAGATAGATGCCCGAAAGGATCATCTGGCCGATGCAAAAGCGAGGCTGAGAAAGGCCAAGGCAGAACACAAGTGCAAGAAAGAGGCGAAGTCAAGAGCGTGAGTGAAAATCTTGGTTCTTTTTTTAAGCCTGGGGTGTTTAATCTCACCGATGGCCATCCCTCTTTATTCTCATTGAACGGCATGTTAGATATATGTCCATTTGAACTGGTTCAGTCTAGTGGTGAAAGCACCAGGCTAGAAATTAGCAGGGGTGAGTTCTAGTCCTGCCTTAGGCATGAAAGCTGTCAGCTCCCCAAATGCTGACAAAAGCCAGCTGGGTGACTTTGGGCCAATCACCAGGCGACTGTGAGTTCTAGTCACAAGAAGCATGAAAGCCGGTTGGGTGATTTAGGGCCAATCACTGGAAGATGGTGAGTTCTAGTTCCTCCTTAGGCATGAAAACCGGCTAGGTGACTGGTCCAATCACCAGGAGACGGTGAGTTCTAGTCCTGCCTTAGGTATGAAAACCATCTGGGTGATGTTGGGAGGAGATGGTGAGTTCTAGTTCCGCCTTAGGCATGAAAACTGCTGGGTGACGTTGGACCAATCACCAGGAGACGGTGAGTTCTAGTCCTGCCTTAGACATGAGAACCGTCTGGGTGACGTTGGGACAATCACCAGGAGACGGTGAGTTCTAGTCCTGCCTTAGGCATAAAAGCTGGCTACATAACTGTGAGCCAGTCACTTTCTCTTAGCCCACACAATCCAACTCAGGTAATAGGCCAGTCAGTCAATTCTTGTCACAACCAGTGGATCAATGCTCATTTCATCCAACAAAAAAGCAAACGCTGCAATTGTGGGGAAAAAATGGGTGGGAAGAAAAAAAAAAAAGATGTATATGCACGTATTTGTGGGGATGCTGGATTTGAGTCGATTAAAATGTAATTATAAAATAATTCCCCGTGTTGGCTGGGGAATTCAGGAGCTTGAAGCGCATCCATCTTGGAAATGGGCAAGGTTGAGAAAGACTTCTACAGGGGATGTCTCTGTTTTGCAACAGTGCCGTCGAAAAGAAAAAGAAACTGGTGAAGAAGATCGAAGAACAGCTGGCGAAGCTGAAATTGCAGGCTACTGACAAAGAGGAAAACAAGCAGATCGCTATGGGCACCTCTAAGTTGAATTACCTGGACCCCCGCATCACCGTGGCCTGGTGGGTGAAGGGCAGCTAGAAGGGGGTTTAGATGGGTGGGATGCAAATTTTTTAACCACCAGTTTTGGGGGCGGGGCTAGGTGGGCATGGCCATGTGATCGGGTGGGTGTGGCTTTTTTTTTTGCAGCACCCCCCCTTTTTTTCCCCCTCCTGGGCCTCAGGGAAACCTTGTGGGAGCAAAAACACCCCCTCCTGACGATCAGCTGTTCTGACGATCAGCTGTGCCAGGATCCCCCTCGCTGTCTTTACTGCTTCACCCAGGAGGCCTTCCCTGGGGCCCAGCCTGCGCCCCTTTTCGCCTCCTGGGTGAAGCAGTAAAGACAGCGAGGGGGATCCTGGCACAGCTGATCGTCAGAACAGCTGATCGTCAGAACAGCTGATCGTTGGAAAGGGGGAAAAAAAAGTAATGCCTTAAGGAGCGACTGGGCAGGGAGAACACAGTCAGCAATATCGTGCATGTGCGATAAGGACTGACTGGTCAGGGAGGGAAGGGGCGGGCGAATAGGAGCGGGGCCATCCAGGGGCACGATTTGCCAGTTCTGTGAACTGCACAGAATCATAACAACCGGTTCTAGAGAACCGGTTTAAATCGGTAGACTCTCACCCCTGGGTTCAGAGTAGTGGTTCCCAAAGTGGGCGGTACTGCCTCCTGGGGGGCGGTGGGATGCCTTAGGGGGGGCGCTAAGAGGCAAGGGGGCTGGTAGGGTTGCGCTAAGAGGCGGCAGGGGGGGCGTTCGAGGCACTGGCCGGCCCTGCAGGTTCACCCATTAATTGTAGTAACGCTCCGGAGCCGGCACCTCCAATGCAAAAGCGGTGGCACATTATGTGCTGCCGCGGCCCCCCTGCCTCCTCTTAGCGTCCCCAAGGGAGCCGGCAGAGGGGTGCTAAGAGGCAGCAGGGGGGCGTTTGAGACGCCGGCTGGCCCTGCAGTTCGCCCATCGAGGTGCTGGCTCCGGAGCGGTGCTACAGTCAATGGGTGAACCTGCAGGGCTGGTGCCTCGAACGCCCCCCTGCCACCTCTTAGCGTCCCCAAGGGGGCCAGCAGAGAGGCGCTAAGAGGCAGCAGAGGGTGGCGTGTCAAACGTGGCCGCGGCGGCACATAATGTGCCATTGCTTCTGCATTGGAGGTGCCGGCTCCGGAGCGGTGCTAGTCAATGGGTGAACCTGCAGGGTTGGCCAGCGCCTCGAACTCCCCCCCTGCCGCCTCTTAGCACCCCTCTTCCGGCCCCCTTGGGGACCTGCAGGCTCACCCCATTGACTGTCGTACCGCACCGGAACCGGCGCCTCGAATGTGGCAGCATGTTGGGAAAAGCCGCCGCCACCACTTTCCCAACGTGCCACCGCTGTCGCATTCTGTCTGTCTGTCAGTCCATCCATCCATCAAAAAAGGTTTGCCTGCATACCTTCCTGCCTCCCTACCTACCTGTCTGTCTTTCTGTCTACCTACCTACCTACCAATATCTATCTACCTACCTACCTACATCCAAAAGGTCTGTCTGTCTTCCTGCCTATCTATCTATCTATCTATCTATCTATCTATCTATCTATCTATCTATCATATATATCATATCTATCTATCTGTCTGTCTGTCTGCCTGCCTGCCTGCCTGCCTGCCTGCCTGCCTGCCTGCCTCTCCCTCTCCCTCTCCCTCTCTCTCCCTCCCCCTCCCCCTCTCCCTCCATCCATGTTCGAAGTGCCGGCCCCGCAGGCACAAGGTTTTGTGGACGAAACATGGTCAAGACTATCAGGAAGCTCTCACATTTTGTTGAGGCTTTAAACAGGATCCATTGGACCAGATCTCCACCCTAAAAATTACTTTTCCCCAATGTATTATAGTGCCAATTCTGAAGAAGGCAAAACCAAAATGTACTGGTAAATTACAAGGAGAACACACACACACACACACACGCTCCTTTCTTACCCTGCTGGAGCAGGTGATTGGACTAGAATAGATATCTCATTATCTTTCTCCTCCCTCCCTCCCTCCTTCTTTATTTCTTTTTCTTTCTGTCCCTTCCTTCCATTCCCCCCCCTCTTTCTTTGTCCCTTTTTCTTTCCCTTTTCTCTTTATTTTCTCTCCTTCTCTCTTTCTTTTCTCTCTCTCTTTCCCTCTCTCAGGCTCATCCCTTTGGATCAGGGGTCGCCAAACTTTTGGACCTCAGGGACCACCAAGCTCATAATTTTAAATCCCGGAGACCGCTAATATGAATTTTGACTGACGGTGGCTTTCTGGTGTTGGTGGGAGAGAGAGAGAGAGAGAGAGAGAGAGATCTGATCCAACCTCTCTCTCTCCCTCTCTCTCACACACACAGGCAGGGGTGGGATTTAGACCCCTGATCTAAAGCTGTCAAAACTCCAAAAACAGGTCAAGTAGCTCTGGGGAGGCCAGTCATAAATTATAACACTTGCTAAACAACCGGCCATTAAGTGAGGACCACTTGTATTTGGTTTGCCAGTCACCTGGCCATGCCCACCCAGTCACATGACCAGCAAGCCACACCCACTCAAGTCACATGACTAGCAAGCCACACCCTCAAATTAGGCCACGCCCACAGAAATTTGAATCCCACCCCTGGGTGGGGGGCACCGAGGATGAGTTTGTAGCACCAAGGGGGCGGTAGACTTAAAAAGTTTGGGAATCATTGAGGGAAGTTGAAGGACAGGAACTTATAGGAGAAGGAATGGTAGAATCTGGGGTCAGAGTCAATATAGGAAACAGCCTAGAATCCCTATGTAGTCACAAAGTCCAACCTCCCTTGCATTCCATTATACCAGGCTAGGTAACCCCATCAAAGCAGTAGATTTAGTTTCAATCTCTTGCAGTGGTCTACTAACAAAACATCTGAATAAAAACAACCAAGTTTGGAGAACATCAAGAATAGCAATAGACTTATCTACTGCTTCACAGTGATTTACAGCCCTCTCTAAGCAGTTTACAGGGTCGGCCTCTTGCCCCCAACAATCTGGGCTTTCATTTTACTGACCTCGGAAGGAAGGAAGGCTGAGTCAACCTTGAGCCGGTCAGGATCGAACTGCTGGCAGTGGGCAGAGTTAGCCTGAAATACTGCATTCTAACCATTACGCCACTACAGCCCTTCCTTCCTTCCTTCCTTCCTTCCTTCCTTCCTTCCTTCCTTCCTTCCTTCCTTCCTTCCTACCTACCTACCTACCTACCTACCTACCTACCTACCTACCTACCTACCTACTTAACAATAGCACTTAGATTTATATACTACTTTCCAGCTCTAAGCGGTTTACAGGGTCGGCCTCTTGCCCCCAACAATCTGGGCCTTCATTTTACCGACCTTGGAAGGAAGGAAGGCTGAGTCAACCTTGAGCTGGTCAGGATCGAACTGCTGGCAGTGGGCAGAGTTAGCCTGAAATACTGCATTCTAACTACTACGCCACTACAGCCCTTCCTTCCTTCCTTCCTTCCTTCCTTCCTTCCTTCCTTCCTTCCTTCCTTCCTTCCTTCCTACCTACCTACCTACCTACCTACCTACCTACCTACCTACCTACCTACCTACTTAACAATAGCACTTAGATTTATATACTACTTTCCAGCTCTAAGCGGTTTACAGGGTCGGCCTCTTGCCCCCAACAATCTGGGCCTTCATTTTACCAACCTCGGAAGGAAGGAAGGCTGAGTCAACCTTGAGCCTGGTGACATTCGAACTGCCAAATTGCAGTCAGCCGGCAGTCAGTAGAAGTGGCCTGCAGGACTGTGTTCTAACCCATGAGCCACCAAGAAGTTCAACCCTAAGCTTCATATACTCTCAACTTTTGGAGGCTGTAGATTATGTTATCTAACACATTTTGATAAGACATCTGCTATAGAGAGTTAGCTACCGTAACATTTCTTGGTTACTATATAACACGGGGTGTCAAACTTGCCGTGTCACATTGTGACGTGACATTTTGCGACGTTTTCCCCATTCACGGAGCTGGGGTGGGCGTGGCCTGTGCGTGACGCATCCAGCCCACGGCCTACAAGTTTGACCCCCCCCCAACCTAAGAAACCTAAGAAACAGTTGGACAATTGCGCAAGGTTTGTGGAATTTGAGCTATTTATGTAGGAGTGGCAGAATCCAGGGGGGTGGAGTCAAAAGAGGAATCGGGCTAGAATCCCCACATAGCCACAAACAAAATCCAGCCTCCCTTGAATTCAGTTAAACCTGATCTAAATCCTAGCAATCTTGAGAGAACTGCTTAAAATAGAAGTGTCCATCGGGATCAACGTCTGGCCGTTGATCCTGTTATGATCCTTTCATTGCCTCCTCCAGTTCTGCTTTGATGCTGACGTGTGTCCTTCCTTCTCTTCTGCATTCTTTGACTCTAGGTGCAAACGGTTTGATGTGCCCATCGAAAAGGTGTACAACAAAACTCAGCGAGAGAAGTTTGCGTGGGCCATTGCGATGGCGGAGGAAGATTTTGTATTCTAAAGGGATCTAGGCTGCTCCCGGCTTGTTGTGGGGTCGCTCGTTGGCATGTTTTTGTGTGCCTTTACTAGCAGGGAGGGCTGTTTTGCACCTACAAAATACATCTAAAGGAGAACGGAGAGCCTGTTGTTTCTACTTCTGTGTAAAAGGGAGACCGCCCTGCTTTATTTATTTATGAGTAGCATTGGTTCTCCATCCTGGTCTGTGAGGATGCTGGACCACTCACAAGAAGAATAGTTCTGGAACAGGATTAGTCAGTGTTCTCATAGCTTTCTCTTCTAGGTTTCTCAGGGATGGTCGCGGCACGAGAAGATCCAACTGTCTTGAACTAAACCAGGAGTCTTCAAACTCAACAGCTTTAAGACTTGTGGACTTCCACTCCCAGAATTCCTCCTCCTTCAGTTATGTTAGCTCAGGAATTCTGGGAGTTGAAGTCCACAAGTCTTAAACTTGCCAAGTTTGAAGACCCTTGAACTAAACCTTCAGCTTCTTTCCCCAAGACTTTTAGGAAAAGCCCCTCATGAATTGGAAGGTTAGGTTGGGTAATGTATTGTAAAACTCAACTTCTTGAGTTCTTGTACACCGCTGTTCATTGAAGGCCAAGTTCTTGATGTCCTTGAGATATGGTGGACCACCAACACAAAAGAAAGGAGCTAAAGATCTTTGGAACAATTTGTTACATCTAGAGGATCTCTAGTGCAGGGAAAGGCGTATCACCGTCATGTTCCCTTGGCTCATTCAATGTTGTCTTCTAATACTTTGAGGAGACACATGGAACCCAGGAAGAAAAGAGACTTGTATGCCATGTGATGCATTTTCTAACTTTCCTCCTTCTTGGGTGCTCCTCACCACCTGAAGTCCTCACCCTTTAGTGGGGAATCTCAAACATCAGCTAGAACCAGTTGAGTGGCTTCTTTTGGGAGAAAAGACACAGAGGGAGATCCCTCCATCCTTAATTGGACTGTGGTCAAGATGTCAGCAGAGGTGCCTTCAAAAATCTGGATTAGAAGAAGAGTAACTCAAGACTGTTCTACACACAGTTTTGGCACACACACTAACGAGAAGTTAAATTTGTCACCGAGTATTTGTAGTAGTCACTGTGCAAAATTATTCCAGTCAGGAAAGATTTGTGGATGTTACCGTGAAAAACATCTTAGCAGTAAACATCTACAATTCATGGCCAGCCTATGATGGTTTGGTTTAGTACACAGTGTAGCAAATGCTAGACTTTAAAACCAACGAAGGACACAACATTTACACCAGGGTTAGGCAACTATGACCCTTTTACCTCAGCATGGCTCAGGAATTCTGGGAGTTGAAGTCCACAGATCGTAAAGAGGCCATAGTTACTCAACCCTGGTCTAGACTGCCAACTTCTTGAGTGACGAATTCCAGGGTGTATCTGGGACCATTGGTAGGTGGAATCTACTAATGGCTCCATTCCCTGCAGAATTAATATTCTGGGTCATCTAATGAGTTCAGGTTGCTAATCTTCCCACAAAAATGAGGGCGGTGGTAATTGTAGGGTTAAAATGTTTCAATGCCACAGACTAAACATTCATCGGTTTTACTTGTGGGCACGCACATGCCTTATTTCAATTCTGTTTCCTTAATTCACCCCTTGAAGTGGGTGCCCCCAGCGATTAAAAGTATTCTTAGATCTAATCTTTCTAGGGACACTTTCAGGTTTATTGGGTGTTTTTCTGAGAACAAGATAAGGTGGCATTACAAAACAAATAATATTTGAGTTTCTGATTGTGGGCTGTTAATCAAAATGGAAAAGAATTCGCCCCAGAATCAGTTTGCTTACCTGGTAAAGCATAAGAGAAAAAAATAAACAAACTTTTTCTAGTTCAGTGGCCATCATAGGAATGAATCCTGCTGATTGGGGGTGATGGGGACTTGTATCCAAGACAGAAGGAGGTGTCACTTTGGGAATAGCATGCTTAAAAGTTTTAAGTGCCAGTTTTGTTTGGGGTTTTGGCTGAATGCACCAGAGTCCAGTAAAGAAAGCGGCTAAGGGGTTTACTTATTAAAATAAAATTTTGCACAGTTCAATATTTGAATATCTTATTTCCATCACTATGTGAAGGAAGCAGTGTGGAATGTTTCAGAGCGCGGAATTTGCACTTGGAATATTTTCATATGAATTTGCCACTACAATAATTTCATCATGTATATTGCTTTTTTTATCCTCCTTGCGAACCCTGTAATACAATGGGAATAACAAGAGAAGATCCGTTCTAATATATGTCATAACGTATTGCAATAAAACTCTTCTGCTGCTATTTTCCCAGAAACTCTAGGTGGTTTTATTCGATTCCAATTCTAGGGCCTTTATTTTTTATTTTTTTTTAAAGAAGTGTATACTGTCCCTGGACAGTTTTTTGGACTGTGTCTTTCTTTTGGCTTGTTCAATGGAGGATCTATTTTTAAATGTATTTTTTTTTTAAGATCAATCGCAGGACAAAGAGTTTTTCCTTGGATTGACATGTTTTTCTAACATTTCTTGCAACCAATTAAAATGGTGTTTGAAAAGATTCTGGTAGTTTCTTGGTTTCTTCTTGGTGCGATTCAGCCTGTCGCCACACGAGGGCATGTGAATTTGCAGCATCTGCAGTTGTTTGGTCGTATTCACGGAGAAAGTAAAAAATTGTGGTTCCTTTATCTGAGCCTGCAAGGGGCTCTCTTGCCCTATTTGGTGTCAAGAATGCAAGGGAAGGGAAGAGGAGGGAGGGAGGAAGAAATGGAAAGGAAGGAAGGATAAATGGTGAGAGGGAAGGAACGAGGCAGAGAGGAAGAGGGAGGCAGGAAGGAAGGAAAACGGAAGGAAGGGTGAGGGAGGTCTGGAATTGAAGGGAGAGGAAGGAAGGAAAGGAAAAGGGAGGGAGGGAGGTCGAGTTTGAGAGGAAGGAAGGAAAGGCAGGAAGAAGATGGAAAAGGAAGGGAAGGACAGGGAAGGAACAATAGGAAGAAAGGGAGAGAAGAAGGAAGGAAAAACAAGGGAAGGAAGGGTGAGGGAGGTCTGGAATTGAAGGGAGAGGAAAGAAGGAAAGGAAAAGGAAGGGAGGGGGGAGGTTGAGTTTGAGAGGAAGGAAGGAAAGTAGGAAGAGGAAGGGAGGAAGAAGATGGAAAGGGAGGAAGATGGGGAAGAAGGAAGGGAAGGGAGAGGGAAGGAAGGATAAATGGTGAGGGAAGGAAAGAAGGAACAATAGGAAGAAGGAAGGAAAAAAGGGAAGTCTGGAATTTAAGAGGAAGGGAAGGAAAGACAAGGAAGAGGGAAGGGAGGGAGGTGTGGAGTTTGAGAGGGAGGAAGAGAAAGGGTGAAAGGGAGGTTGATCTTAAAGAAGGGAGGGAGGAAGAGGGAAGGAAGGAAGGGAGAGGAAGGAAGGAAAGTGAAAGTAGGAAGGATAGGGAAGGGAAAAAAGGAACAAAGGGGAAAGAAGAAAAAAAACCACACAAAACAACTAAGTAGAGGGTATATAATGTTCTGAAAAGTACCAACTCTTGATTCACAACCATTCATTCCATGACAGAAGTTACAAGGTTCCTCACACAATCGTCCCAGCATCCTCACAGTTGCTCGATCAACCTTCCAAGTGCTTGGCAACCAGCATGTAGTTATGGTAGAGTAATTTTGGTGACGGTAAGGCAATACCCGCGATTTCATGTTCTGGAAGAAGCCTGCCCAAATGCTAAGGAATAGAAATTCAACTCTGACCGGTAATGCTCTCCAGAATGAGTTCAGAACATGCTGCAATTCTTAATTGTATGGCTGATTTAATCTCAGATAGCTCTCAAATCGTCACTACTTCGTGTCACTGAGTGTGCAATTATAAGGGGATGAATTGCATCCTTCCAGGGTGTGTGAACTCCTTACCCAGAGGGAATGTGGCTCTACCAAGCTCAATACAATTCAAACCTTTTCTGACCCTCTGTAGATCTCCTCTCCACCCTGATCCCTTTGGAGATCTTTCCAATGAGATTCTTCCCCAAAAAAACGACACAGTCCTAGGCCGCATTAACAGAATCAAGATCACGTGAAGTGTTAATATCACTTTATAAGGCCTTGTTAAGACCACACTTGGAATTCTGCAACCAATTTTGGTCACCACAATGTAAAAAAAGATCTTAAGAGTGCAGAGAAGAGCAACAAAGACAAAAATTAGGGGACTAGAGGCTAAAACATACGAACAGCAGAAGGTGACTCTCCCGTAACTAAAATTTGTAGAGGAAAACGTTGAACAGAAAGCCTTTGAAACAACACTTTGATCTAGAAAACTTCATCCATAAGTGTCTTTCTGTTGCTACTATCATATTTCTACCACCATATTTCTGGTTCACTTATTTTAAGAAGCAGAGTTAAGGCTGAGGGTGGATGCAAGACAGAATATGTCCAATTGGTACAGGGAAAAAGGTATTAACAACTTGGGGAGAGCCCAAAGGTGCTTTTTCAGGAGGCAACTGGACTTTCTTATTTTTTCTTTTGAAGATGTTTTGCTTCTCATTCAAGAAGCTTCTTCAGCTCTGACAGGATGGTGGGGAATGGAAGGATTTATACTCCTTGAAGACAGCTGGTCATTTGCATCCTTTTAGAGGGTCATTGAGGCCACTTGGAGTGTTTATTTATGTCTTCAGTTGTCCCAGAGGTGCTTTTTTAAAGAGGCAACTGGACTTTCTTATTTTTTCTTTTGAAGACGTTTCACTTCTCATCCAAGAAGCTTCTTCAGCTCTGACTGGATGGTGAGGAATGGGAGGAGTTATACTCCTTGAAGACAGCTGGTCATTTGCATCCTTTTAGAGAACTATTGAGGCCACCTGGAGGTTTAGCTGTGTCCTCAGGGTCACCTGAGTGGTGCTAATGGTTCCCGTAGTCCACAATTTTTTCTCTGGAAATCCATTCCTACTCCCACACCATTCCAAGGGTGTTCATCCCAAATTGTATAGCTAAAAGTCCGTAGAGATTTTCAGTCAGCCAGGTCCTGGTTGTCCCAAAGGTATTTTTTCAAGAGGAAACTGGACTTTCTGGTTTTTATTTAAAGACGTTTCACTCCTCATCCATGAAGCTTCTTCCCTTCTGACCGGATGGTGGAGAACGGAAGGATTTATTCTCCTTGCAGACAGCTGGTTATTTGCATCCTTTTAGAGGGTCGTTGAGGCCACTTGGAAGTTTCTCTGCATCCTCTCCTGAGTGATGCTCCTGGTTCTTGTAGTCTGCAATTTCCCCTCTGGAAATCCATTTCTACACCTGCACCATTCCAAGGGTGTTCATCCCAAATTGTATAGCTGAAAGTCTGTAGAGATTCTCAGTCCTCCAGGTCATCTAGGGATTTGGGACAACCATGACATGGAGGACTGAAAATCTCTACAAACATGGGAGGAGATTTTGCCCGGCTGCCTCTAGATCAGTGCTGGGGAATGATGACCCCTTAATGACTTGTGGACTTAAAAACTCCCAGAATTTCAAGAAAGCATCTGTTTTTCACGTTTATGTCAGTGGTGGGGCTCAAATTTTTTTACTACTGGTTCTGTGGGTGTGGCTTGGTGGGCGTGGCTTGGTGGGCATGGTAGGGGAAAGATACTGCAAAATCTCCATTCCCTCCCCACTCCTAGAGGAAAGTTACCACCGGTTCTCTGAACTACTCAAAATTCCCACTACCTGTTCTCCAGAACTGGTCAGAACCTACTGAATACCACCTCTGGTTTACGTAAACATGAATGAAATAAACATGAAAAACAGCCATAAGTTGCTTTTTCCAGTGCTACTGCAACTTCAAACGGTCACTAAAGGAACAGTTGTAAGTCCAGAGCTTTTCTTCTCTGCCCTGTTGTTGAAAACAAACACACCCACCCTTCTTTTAAATCCAAAAGTTGACAATCATTTATGTAGCCACTGAGGCAAATCAGATGTCAAACATTCTTTCTGGAGTTGTATGATTCTTTTTTTAAAAGCAACCTCCCATGCCTGCAAAGAGTCACCATTCTTGAGATAAGGTCCAAGGAATGGATTGTCATTAAACAAATGTTTGCAAGTTGAGAACTACCCGTATTCATAGTTCCCTGGATCCATCCAAGTAATCCTTCTCAGTTACTTTAAGAGATCCTTGATGAACAGCAGATAATGTAGATATAGATACAGTTCAACAATGTTGGAAGGAATCTTGTAGGTCATAAGAAGAGATTGGATAAGCATTTGTCCAGGATGGTGTATGGTTTCCTGCTTGGGGTTGGACTACGAGAAGATACAGATGCAGATTAACAGAGATGGAAGGGACCTTGTAGGTCATCTAGTCCAACCCCCTGCCCAAGCTGGAGACCCTACATCATTTCCGAAAGGTCTCTTCCTGAAAACCTCCAGTGATGAAGCTCCCACAACTTCCAAAGGCAACTTCTGTTTCATTGCTTGACTGTTCTCGCTGTCAGAAAGTTTCTCCTTATTTCCAGGTTGAATCTCTCCTTGTTCAGTTTCCATCCATTGTTCCTTGTCTGGCCTTCAGTTGCCTGGGAGAATAGCTTGACCCCCTCCTCTCTGTGGCAGCTCCTCAAATATTGGAAATACTGCTATCATGTCTCCCCTGGTCCTTCTCTTCACTAGACTGGATATACTCAATTCCAGCAACCGTTCATTGTATCTTTTAGCCTCCAGTCCCCTAATCATCCTGGTTGCTCTTCTCTGCACTCTTTCTAGAGTCTCAACATCTTGTTTTATAGTGTGAAGACCAAAACTGGATGCAGGACTCTAGGTGTGGCCTTACTAAGGCTTTATAGAGTGGTATTAGTACCTCCCTTGATCTTGATTGTATCCCTCTGTTAATGCACTTTGGGATTGCATTGGCTTTTTTGGCTGTCGCTGTACATTGTTGGCTCATCCAGACCTCTTAAAGTTATCAAGGTTGAGAAACACAGTTTAATTCCACAGC